TGAAGAAGTCCCAATAAAGGGACGAAACGTCCAACTAAATCAAACATAGTTCTACTTCTTTCATGTCCAAGTTCCCTGTKAAATTTCATCATTAATAATAATAATAATTATTATTATTATATGCACAAATATATTAAAAATTACTCTACTTCATTTGTTAATCTTAGAAGAAAAAGAAGAAAAAAAGAAGTTGTCAAGCTTAATGTATTGTGAAATAATTAATAATATATAAATGTTAATCATTATACGGATGAAAAATTGTGAAAATATTACAAGCCATCGTAATTAGTTGATGTTATAACAAATTGATTGAAAATATACAAAAAGGTACCGCTTATTGATCTTAGCAAAATCAAAGGATATGCTAACAAAAATCAGTGTTAAATGAACGCGCTCCGACACCTATGGCTCGCAATGACGCCTTTGTGAGGATAGGAGAACGTTAGTGGGCTCAGACCGTTTGTCTTCCCGCCCTTATTTTGGGTAACACGTTGAGTGCCACCCAAATTCTAAAGGGGTTACATGGGTTTGGGACTTTCAAAAAAATCATTTTTTTTATTTTTATCTTTTAAAATTCTACAACTTATCTAGAATATTGTATTTAATTTTAAAGTCGATAGGAGTAGTAGTTTAAAAGATAGAGCCTTGGGAAGTTCCACTCTTTAATGGCTATTTTACAAGCACTTATATCTTTAAACGCGTTTTTCTCAAAACGCTTTTTCTAAAGTCGGTTGTCAAGATTTCTCGAAAACTATTTAACCGATCTTGATGAAATTTGCTACACGTCTTCATGATACTATTGACAAGGACTTGGACGAAGGATTTTCGTTTTTTTCATAAAATCGAATTTTAAGAAACCAAAATGTGGTACAAATGTAGCGAAGTTTGAATATTCTTGCTAAAAACGTTGCCAAAAATCCAAATTTCAATTTTTTATTTTCCTTCGTCCAGTTTCTAGTTTTAAGTATTCACTAAAAGACCCTATTTTTTCAACTGAAAAACCCCCACCGTTTATGAGTTCTGCTGTCAACGCGAAAACACTTTTTTTTGGTGGGGTCACCGAAAATGACGTCGCAATGGCTGAGTTTAAAATATTTTTCAACCAAAATTTCAGAAAATGTTCTTTAACAAAACGGCAGTGTGCTCCGTCGAAGTGATACCGCTGTACGGACCACCGTGCCGCCGGAGTAGCGGCACTGAACGGAGCACTGCGCCGAAAAATGTCACTCCGGTTAACTAAAGAAAAACTGAGCTAATTGTCTGTTTTTCGGCGAAAACTTGATATAATGGTAACTCAACGACGCTGAATCGAATGGTGCCAATTTTTTTGCACCAGGATGTGCGATTCATGGCAAAAAGGGTAAAAAATGGCCGTATCTTAGAATCTAGGCATTWAATCGAAAAAAGTTTCAAACAAAAGTTGTAGAKAATTGARAAATACATAAAAAATGTTCTAAGGTGTATCTTCGTATTTGCAAAAATAAGCGAGAAAATGAAGGTGAAAGGTAATTGTAAGAGAGGGAGTTGGTCTTTACACGCGAGCGAGCTAGTGTGCGTTATCTTGGGGTTTCTCGGTCGTGAATGCGAGTGCGAGTGAGAAAAGAAAAGGATACTTCTCCCTTTCTAATTTGTTTAGGCGGTAGCGAGTATTTTTGTTTGGGCCATCGATTTTTGAGTGTTCTGTATTATATATTTCTGATATTTTTTCATGCTGTAGCGAGAATTTTTCGTCTTGGCCATCGAGTGTCGAGCGTTATGTATACGAGTGCGAGTGAGACAAGAAACCGATACTTCTCTCTTTCTAATTTTTTCTTCGGAAGCGAGAATTTTTCGTTTTGACAATAATTCATTTTAACAGAAACTATTATTATTTAGTCATATTTTTATTAGTTAATATTTTATTTTTATAATATAAAAATATATTATTCTTTAATACAGTAAAACAAATAACAATATATATCTTTCTATATCTTTCCTGTATATAATGAAACATTAAGAAATGTAAAAAGAATTTGTATAACTTAAGGATAGAAAAACTTAAAAAAAAAAATAATTCCCCCACAAAGAATCGAACGGTAAGTACCAGCGTGAGAAGCAGAGACGATACTACTTACGCTAGCGTGTCATTT